GATTGCAGGCCAATAATGACCTCAATGACTCCCATTATTAAGGGGTGGAGCTGGTATTCCAGTTTCAAACTGTATTTTTTTTATCCATTACAAGGCTTTTTTTGGGCTACTCTATTAATGCCTGGAACTTAATGCTGATCCTGATATTTTGAATTGAGAAAACGTCCTGGATGGGAAGCGAAACATCTTCAAACTTGGAAAACAAAGTGCAGTTGATTGTTTTTTAACTTTAACTGTTTGGAATTTTGCTAGAATTTACAATTATTTTTGTAAAATGTAATAACCTCAAAACTAAACAACACAGACCCATCTGAACTATTGCCACTTTAACAAAGTTTAAGACAAATAATAAAGCTTTTAAGATTCACAATTCATCCTGTATGTACCAGATTGTCACTTGGTAATATTAATATGTTTGAATTTGTACCCTCTGTCTTATTCTAAATGTTTTTTTCACCCTTTCTATTTTGCTTTCTTTTGAGTTTTTATCTAAATTACTGCTTTAAATCTTTAATTTATGTATAGGAACAACTCTAATAGAGTGTTTCACTGAAATACGTCCCCCTGGTTTCCGGGGAGAGGAACCTATGTTCTATGGGTTAGGTTTCCGGTCGGACAGTGTTTCGTGGCGCTCCTCCGTGTGTTAGATCCTGCGGTCTGCTCCCGGTTGTTCCTCCTGCTGTTTGTTTACCGGTTTGTTGTTTGTTTGTTGATTGTTTACCGGCCTGTAAACATGCCGCGCGCCGGAAGCTCCTTGTTCTCTGGTTTCCGCGTTCTGGGGCTCTACTCCAACCACGTGCCGCACGCGCTCCGGTACCATATGAAGCACCGGGAGTTCTACGTGGTGACGTCAGTGGGCCAAAGCTTTCACACATTCAACGTAAGTATTTCTTTTAATTTATTTTGTTTTATTGAATTAATGAGTTTGATCCAATGGAAAACTGATGACTGTTTGGGGGCGGGGCGGTGACGTCACACGGTGGTTGGCTGAATGAATAAAATAATGGATAAATGAATATTGGAGTTGATGAAGCAGTTGATGACGTCAAAGCTGATCATTGATGACGTGTCTGATTCCCTGCAGGTGAGCCGCCTCGGGATCGTCTCTGTCAGTGAGTACCTCTGATGACGCTGCAGAATCTTGCTCTCTGATTGGCTGTGACGTAACACTGTCTGTTTTCCCAGGTAACAGTCTGGCAGATGACATCACATGCTTGGCGGCTGACAGGATGCTGGTGTTCGCCGCCAGCGGAACGACGATCTGCGCCTTCGCTCGGAACAAAGAGGCAGGAAACCTCCGGCTTCCCGTCTGCCTGACCCCCTGTCTGTTCCAGCCCAGTTAATAAAGCTCTTTGTGTTTGGATCTCTGCCCAGGTGGTGATGCGTTACCATGGACACAAGCATGACGTGCGTCTGCTTCTTCCGCTGGGCGATCAGCTGATTTCTGCCGACAGCGGTGGTGACGTCATTGTTTGGGACGTTCAGGGAGGAGGTAAGCGGAGGGGGCGGGGCTTTCGGTCACTCTCTTCTGTCCTGATATCAACCATAGTTTACTCTATTGTCCCACAGATATTTACCTTCAGCTGAACTTTGACCCCGGCACCTTTGATGTGTCAGCCATGATGCACCCCAGCACGTACCTGAACAAGGTGCTGCTGGGCAGCTCCCAGGGAGCTCTGCAGCTGTGGAACATCAAGACCAGGTGGGGGCAGCTGCTGCAAGGGCGTGACGTTTTAAATCTGTGTTCCGTTGCCATGGCAACTAACTCTGTTTCATCCTCAGTAAGCTGTTGTTCACCTTTCCTGGGTGGTCGGCAGCCGTCACCGTCCTGCAGCAGGTGAGTCATCAGTCAGCTGCTTTCTAATCGTATATCTCAGCCAGATGGATTCAGACAAGTTGGCTGTTCTGCTACGAGTCGGCTCTG